TGTGTCACTGGTTAACTTTGCTAAAGTCAAAAAATGGATTTGAACAAGGTAATTGGTAGCGCTACAAGTAATAAATTGAACTGTTAAAACAGGAAAACTGCTTGATCGTGTCTCACACTGCCTGTTTTACTTCCCGGATCTTCCAAAAATACAGTATCGGGTTTAGAGACGAGTTTAGGTAGACTATAGAGTCTCCTGGGCTCTCCAAACCACGTAGCGTATTCCATTAGCAAATAATTTCCTTTTTGTATCTTGCTATATTCAGGTGAATCCTTCCTCCCATTGCGATCGAGTCTTAGGGGTCCTTGTTATGTAGCTGGGCTTGTTGATGTCGTAGTTCGAGGTGGATTCTCGTGTAGCGGAAAATCATAGTTTGAAGAGAAAGTGTCAACTACCGCTTCCTTGTAAGCTAAATCAATTCTTTGGATCCGAGCTCATCCATTTAAAGGGCCAATTAACTAAAAACAAATTATAACAACACGAACTTGCCTTAAAATTACTACATGTCTGTGTCTTAGTCCCAACAACAGAGCGAGAAGTCTGTCCACTTGAAATACCTCGTAAAGAAATTAACCTGGCTCTTGTTTGGTTTCTGGTAATACTACCTAAAAAAAAAAGTATCAGTTCCTTGCCTACCTGTTAAATTGTTATGTTAAAGTTTCCGTGGCAGGATTTGAAGATAATTCCGAGTACCGCAGCAAATAATCTATCAGTTATATTAATCCAGCATGTATCTTTGAATTCATTATTTCTAGACTGAGCCATTTTACTTTGTGACTTTACGTCTAGCTGCAAAGCTAACTGTTCAAAAAACAGTTAAGCTGTCGGAATATTTCTTTTACTGCCTGCTTGGCCTCTCCGATCTTCCAACAAGATAGGACCGGGATCAGGGATGAGTTAAAGTAGACTAGAGTTACCGTAGCTATCAAAGCCATGTCATATTCTATTCCAATAGAAGATAACACAGCCACAAAACCCACGAAACAAAGCAAGCAAATAATGCCAGCTGCACCCACAAAATACTAGAAACTGATGTTTTGTATCTTGCTATGTTCCGTGGAATTCCTCTTACGTTCGCTCGTCCTTGAGGGAAATTGTTTTGTACTTGTGCTTGCTGATGCCGCAGTTTGAATTGGATCCTCGTGTAACAGAAAAATTGAGGTTACCAGCGAAAAATGTCAATAAGATAGAGGACAACATGAAGGTGATATCTCCTCTCCACATCCGGATCGATCCAGCTAAAGCGCTAATTAACCAAAAACAAATTATAACTACACGAACTCGCCTTAATGTTACGACAGGTCTGTAGCTCAGTCCCAACAACAGGGCGACAAGTCTGTCCACACTAACTGCGGTCGACGTCAACAGAGATACTCCACAGAAAATCCAACTTAAAACATCTTCCACTTCGGAAGAGTAGCAACCAGCGTTCTCGTTCACCTCAGACAGGAGGGTGGTTGCAAACAGCAGTTGTAGAGTAAGTCCAACGCAAAGATCGGTGACAGCCAGACATCGAAAGAAAAGTTTAGTCGTAGGATAAATAGAAGACACTCTATTAAGACCAATAAGGATCAGAGCATTACCCAGAGACGCGGTGATCGAAAGAATGGATAGGAATATGTTCAAAGCGGAGAAAAATTTACTAACGCCCGTTGGTGGTGAGGTGAGTGCTTGGTTCCGTTTGCTTGTGAAGTTTGCACCTCCAGTAATGTTCGCCATTGGTCTAGTGACGGTGAGAAAGTTAAATCTTGTTGTGAACAAGAAGTCTCAAAGTGAGAAAAACCTTCAGCTTTTGGCTAAATAACGGGTTGACAATTTTTATGTGTCTCTGATGACGTATTGCTAATGGACTGCGTACTAGCTAACGTCTTATGACGCCGTTTTCAATTATTTTTTACTTATAGTAAAGTTTATTAGGTAAAGTCAATGACAGAAGAGCCAATGATTTACTTTGGAATGACATTTTGATTATTCTTTTTCCGAGCTGTTATTTTACGAAGTACTTTGAAATAAAATGTGCGTGAAAACCGGTAAAGACCGAAAGAATAGCATCGGTCAAATATTTTGATACAAAGCTTTAGGAAACGAACGGGTGCACTGTACGCTGTGACATATTTAGGGGCTGCAGATACCTCTTCACATCTTTACAATTGAAAATAAAGATATTTTTCTTATGTTCCAAAAACACATCCGGCTTGAATATTGAAATATCCTTCATAATTACTTTTGTTTGAACTGTAGATGATACGACGTAAAACGTGCCTAAGTGTATTGAGTGGGCTATGAGCTGCTTTAATCAGCTTCATTTTATCAATTCAAGAGTTCTAAGACCATATCATTGTTGGAAGACACGATACTGACGTTTTGTAATAGCCTGAGCTTCTTGGCGTTTCCGAGTTCAAATACCGCCATTACAATTTGCCAATTATTTTTTATTCACAATAAAGTTTATTCTGAAACGTTAATTATCGAAGTGCCCATGATTTGCTTCGGAATGACTTTTCGAATGCATTATTTTTCCTAACTGTTATTTTACCAAGCAATATTAAATGAATGAAATATGAGTAAAAACCGAAAAAAGAGCATCTTTTAAATACAAAGCTTTCGGAAAAAAACGGGCACACTTTACGCTGTAACTTATTGAGGAGCTGCACATACCTCTTCAGTTTAATAACTAAAAATGCCGATATTGTTCTCATTTTCTCAATAACACATTCAGCTTGATTACTGAAATATCTTTCATAATTACTCTTGTTTGAATTGTAGTCGAGAATGCGTAAGAGAAGGTAAGAGAGTTAATTCTCCATATGTGACCTCTCACGCGACAACGTACACTAACGGTATCCGTTCAAACGGCTAAAAACCGTTCGATTGCCGTTTGCCATCCGTTAATGATCGATGGGATGCCGTTCAAACGGATTGGGTTATCCGTTCAGAAAATTTCCAGCCGTTCGAACAACTGCTGCTATCCATTCGCAAAAACTCTTCATTCGTTCGAACGGGAGAGGTCATCCGTCCACTTGACTAGATTAAAATTCGCGTCACAAGACTGGCTATTTTTAGACCCTCCTGGAATTCGATCTACAAAAATAGCTTGAGAGGTGAATGGCTTTTATGAAGGATTACCCCTCTCAGCCTTCATCCACTCTTAGTATCGACTAACATTATTGCTAACATCTGTTTTGCCGGGTTTTGAGTCACCACGATCAGTGATTGGTTTAAAAAATTTGCGCCACTTTCTGAATCAATCAGAGATGACGTAACACCACTCGCTGGCACACGACTTCCCGCGCTTTGCGCTGGCAAAGTCTATTTGTTGCGAGATTTGAATGGCTCACTGGATTGTCTGCCCCCTTTTATTACTGCTCAGTTTATACTTTGGTTCTGGTTTGGGTATGATGGCTCGCAATCGAAAATAACTATTATTAATACGATATTCAAGCATTATCTTATTTATAAGATCAGAAACTGGAAAGACACAGTTCTTACACATTCAACTTCCTCTTACAGAGAAATAATGACGGAAAATAGCATGGCATAATTGAACTGACTTTTTCATGGGGTTGTCACCATTGGAAAAAGTTTAAAAGTTCAATAGTTCAATTCGGGCGTCACCATCTACGAGTATAATACAAACTGACATTATGACCAGTTTTTTCACTTATTTCAATTCTTATGTCACCCCGATATTTTCACTCTTACCTTAAAAACGATGTTTGAAACACTGTAACGTCGGACTACTGCGATTTTAATATTTCTAATGACGTTTTTAAGCAAAATGAAAGGTACATTTTATTTTCAGTCTTTTGATAGTATTAGAAATATATCACGCAAATTTTATACCAGCAGGTATATTTAAGTTTTCTCATCGGTGGCTTTGCATAATGAGTAAATTGAAGTTTAAACAAAGTTAGTGTTTTGCTTTTAAGGCACTGCATCAATTATGGCGCACCTTTTGATTACTGCTTTGCATGTACATAAGTTTATCGTTTTTGATCTGACACAAACTAAAAAAAAGTATCGGGTAAAGAAATTAGAATTCTAATAATATTAGCTAAAAACAAAATTTATTCCTAGTTTCCACTCCAGGATTTGAAGGTAATATTGCAGCGAATAATAAATCACTTATTCTAAATCCTTTTTATTACGGTATTTCTACACTGAGCCGTCTTACTTTGTAACTTTATATTTTCTGTACAGCTATTTATTCCAAAAAAAAAAACAAAAAAACAGTCAAGCTGTCTGATTGTGTCTCTCACTGCTTCCTTGACCTCTCTGATCTTCCAACAATACAGGATCGGATTAAGAGTTGAGTTTAAATAGACCAGAGTCTCTGTGGCTATCAAAGCCGTGTCATATTCTATTCCAATTGCATATAACACAACCACAATACCCCACGGAACATAGCAAACAACCAATGCCATCTGCACCCACAAAATGCTAGAAACTGTCTTTTTGTATCTTGCTATGTTCAGTGGAATCCCTCCTACGTTCGCTTGTTCTTGTACGACATGGTTTTGAACTTGGGCTTGTTGATGTCGTAGTTTGAGATGGATCCTCGCGTAACAGAAAATCGAAGTAACCAGCGAAAATATCAGGACGACAGAGGCTAACGTGATGGCGATATCTATTCTCCACGTCCCGATCGATCCATGGGACGCAGTAATTAACCAAATGTAAGTTATAACTACACGAGCTCGCCTCAATGTTACGACATGTCTGTATCTCAGTCCCAACAACATGGCGAGAAGTCTGTCCACACTAATTGCGGTCGACGTCAAGATAGATACTCCGCCTAAACACCAGCTTGAAATGCGACGTACTTGGCGCACATAGAAAACATAATAAAAGTTCATCTTTATCAAGGGAGACATAATTTTAATTGCATGTAGTGGTTGTGCGATTAGATCAACTCCAAGATCAGAGAGTGCGAGACATCGAAAGAAAAGTTTCGTCGGAGGATGAATGGAAGAGACTTTATGAAGAGCGATAAGTATCAGAACATTGCCCAGAGATGCGGTGATAGATAGAAAAAAGTTCAAAGCTGATAAAAATTCAGGCATACCCGCTGGTAATGAGCTGAGTGCTTGGTTCAGTCTACCATCTCCAGTAAGGTTCGCCATTGTCCTAATGACGATGGGAAAATTAAATCTTGTTGTGAACACGAGGCGTAAAAGTAAGAAAAACCTTCAGCTTGTAGCTAAATAACGGGTCTTATTTGCCGCTGATGACGTGCTCTTAATTGACTCTGTACTAACTTTTCATAATAGCCTGAGCATTTTGGCATATCCGCTTTGAAATACCGCCATTTTTCAATCGTTTTTGCTCACAGCGAACCTAAAAAGTCATGTTTGTTCTGGAAAGTTAATTATGGATATGCCTATGATTTGCTTTGAAATGACATTTCGATTTCATTATGTCTTCCTATCTGTTACGTTTAAAAATTAATTAAAAATAAAATATGAGTAAATACCGAAAGAAAAGCAATGGTCAGATATCTTCGCACGAAGCTTTTCGAAGAGCAAGGTTACGCTTTAAGTTCTGTCGCTTATTAGGGGTAGCAGCAAATAACCCTACATCCTGATAGTGAAAAAA